ATTAATAAACACAAACCCAGAGCCAGGTATTGGGGTGAAGGCTGGAAGATTAGAGAAGTACAACCAGCCACAGCTACCTTACCTTGCCAGTTCCTCAGCAGATCCCATTTCCTCAGGCTGGAAGCCTCTGAGTTCTCATCCAAATAGATCTCAGCTGAACTGTTGCTGAAAAGCCTACAAGCTTAACCTGTCTAGTTCCTGGTCCTCATACCTTATATACCTTTTTGCTTCCTACCATCACTTCCTGGGATTATAGGCTCACTTTCTGGGATTAAAGACATGAGTCACCATGCCTGGCTGTTTGCAGTGTGGCTTTTAACTCAAAGAGATCCAGATGAAACTCTGCCTCCCTAGTTATAGGACTAAAGGCGTGTGTGCCCCCATTTTCTGGCCCCTATGTCTAGTGGCTGTTCTGTCCTCTGACTCAGATAAATTTATTAGGATGCACAATATTTTGGGGAACACAATCACCACAGCTAAACTCTATTGGAGTGGGACAGGACTGCTTGCTGGCCACATTCTGAACCTGGGAACCCCTCTTGGGGCAGGTAGGACAGGCTGAGTAGAAATACTCTCTCTGGGGAGAGAAGTCTCACCTCATGGAGAAGACCATGTTCTCTGCCCAGAAACAGAGAGCAAAGGAGATTCACTACCCAGAGGGCAATCTCTGATTTTTAGCCAGGCAGGGGAAGAGGGCAAAGGGCTATTGTTCCATGAGACAGCTTAGGGCCCCTTTGCACCTCAGCCCTCCACTCTGAGCAAGACCCTGTGAAAAGCCTGTCCTTCTTGCCTGGGATTTTACCTGGAGAGCTCTGCGAGGGGAGAATAGCTCTTCCTCTGCAGGAGTGCCCTGTGTCCACACTGCCTCCTGGACATCTGGCCTGGCTCCCCGTGGGGCTGTCCGATTCTGAGCCAGACCGGTCCCCAACCCGTGGCTCAGAAGCCATGGAGCTGGGGCTTAACGTCTTCAGGTCTACAAAGCAGAAAGACACAGGAAGGAGATTCTTAGTGGCCTTGGAACACACAGGACTTACTGTACTGGTCCTGCATGTCTAAGCTACAGGTGTGACTCAGTTGGGACAGTTCTTGCCTAGCATGCAGGGAGTCTTGGGTTTGGTCCCCAGGACCATATAAACCAGGCTTGTAGGAAAATTCCTGTAGTCCCTATATTAGGTAGGTAGAGGCAAAAGGATTAAAAGTTCAAGGTTATCCACCGATACATAGATAATTTAAAAATCAAAACCCCTCAAAAACATTGGCAACCTGGACTACACACAGAAAACCCAAGTCTAAACAAGAAGAAAATAAAAAATGAGAGGATGCCTCATTAGAGGGGACAGGTCATTATGCTACTGTTCTGTTTAAGAGTCATGTACTTTGGCAAAGAACAGAAAAGGCCATGATTACAAGGAATAGACAGTAGTGAGGGGTATGGGTAAGGACAGGGTGGAGAACTCTGCACAAAGAGTGTGAGTGTTTGTGCATGATTCATGTGTGACCACAGGTGTAGGTGTGTGGATATGTGTGTGTGTGTGTCTTCCTGTCTGTCTATCTGTCTGTCTGTTCTAAGCCTTTGAGCATACATGTAGAGCAGGAATATTCATGCAATGCTTTTGCACCTTTTTTTTTTTAGATTTATTTATTTATTATGTATACAGAAGAGGGCGTCAGATCTCATTACATATGGTTGTGAGCCACCATGTGGTTGCTGGGAATTGAACTCAGGATCTCTGGAAGAGCAGTCAGTGCTCTTAACCTCTGAGCCATCTCTCTAGCCCCGCAACTTAGTTCTTTTTGTTTGTTTTTTGAGACAGGGCTTCTCTGAGTTTACCTGCCTGTCCTGGAGCTGGCTCTCTAGACCAACTGTCCTTGAACTCACAGAGATCTGCCTGCCTCTGCCTCCCAGTTCTGGGATTAAAGGGTGCTCCACACCACCTTGATTTTTGAGACAGGGTGTCTCACTGACCTCAGGCCAGCAAGCTTCCACAAATGACTCTCTTCAGCCCCAGGCCTCACATGACATAAAAACAGGGCCACATCCAGTTTGCACACAGTCCTTCCTTTCTCTGTGGCACTTTAGCCATTCCCCCATCTCCCCAGGCCCTGTCCAGATCTGATAGTTCAAAATGATCAGAATTTCCATATTCTCCTTGAGTTGGGATTCCACTCAGCCTGCAACTCACTCCTGCCTATAAAGGCCTTGACATTTTCAACTTAACAGGGCAGAGTGGTTAAAACTGGAATTTCTGCCTTGGGGAGATAGAGAAAAGAAGAAGAGGATCCTGCTCAAGGTCATCTTTGGCTACAGAGTGGCCTGCCTGGGATATATGAGACTTTGACTAAACCACAAACACTAACAGTGTTCCAGTGCACCTAAGAGACACTGAGGGAGCAGGACCCTCAGGAATTTAAAGCCAGTCTGGACTCTATACTGAATTTAGTCTAACATGAGTTATAGGGCAATACTCTGTATAAACACATAAACCAGCAGAGGAGTTGGGCGATGGTGGTGCATGCCTTTAATCCCCAAACTGGGAAGGTAGAGCCAGGCAGATCTCGGTGAGTTCAAGGCCAGTCTGGTCTACAGAATGAGAAACAGGACCTGCACAAAAACTACACTGAAAAACCTTGTCTCCAAAAACAAAGAAAAAAACAGACAGACAGACAGACAAAGAAACAAAACAGCAGATGAAAACAGTTTGTAGCAAAGTAGACAGAACAAATGTCAGAAAATAAAATGGACTTGTGTATGTGACACCTTAATACACCTGTCAGGGAATGAAAGCCAATTTCCATCTTTGGTTGTAGGTGGAATGTGCTTCCTTAGCATGATTCTGTGAGACTGTTATTATTAGGGTAGGTCATTCAAGGATTTATGTGTGTTATTTTTTGGTTGGTCAGTTTTAATATCATGTATCTATTTCAATCAATTTGAATTTTTATTTCATGTTTGCCTTTTGGGTTTGCTGTTTAGAGCAATCTTCAGGGTTTGGTTTAAGACAGAACAGCTGACCTGCCTGGAAGTTGTTCATGTAAAAGAGAGGCAGAGAAAGAAAGAGAGACACAGAGACAGAGACAGAAAGAGATACTCACCAGTGGCATTATATCCTGGGGATGGGGCCAGGTGAAGAATACAGTTGTCTTAGGGATATCACAATGTGAGAGGCCAGATCTTCCCCCCAGACTGTCCATAGTCGCCTGAGAGGTCCTCCTCAGTTTATTGTGAGGAGATCCATTGGCTGAGGCCAGCAATGGATCCCGTGGAATGTACTTTCCCAGAGTTTTTTTTCGGTGGGTTGGGAAGCATGGGGTTCTGGGGTACTCTTCTCACCCCAGAGTCGAATAATGTTCTCTTTTCTTGTCAGATTGAGCACCTAAAATGTCTGTCCTGAAAGCTTAGTGGTGCTCAGAGGACAGAAGAGATGTGACAGATGTGTTCTCCTAGTGCTGGAACACTATCAAGACTCGGTGTTGGACACATAAGCCAGCATAGCATGATTATCATTGCAGGACCATTGTTTCCATGTCACATCATAGAGACACATAGACTGATGTACCATCCACATCAGTCACACAGACTCTTCTGTGTATTTTTCTGTGGCATGTTGGCACCGTCTAAGGAGAAAAAACACAGGAGATGAGACCTTACCAATGTGTCTGTGGGATGGACAGGGGAGGGTTCCAGGAATTTCACACAAAGGATGTGAAAAGGCCTGCTTACCTGTATAAGAACAATCCATTTTAGGAATATGGCCCTCTGAGTGCAGACTTGGGCTGGCCCGAAGCAGGTCCCACAGCAGGTTGCTGCCCCTTCATGAGGGTTTCTGGTTCCATCCATATCACCAGACCTATCACTACCTCCTGGTGTGGCATGTGGTGGTGAGTGTGAAATCCAGTTCCCAATGGGAATGGTGGGCTTGAAGGAGCAAGCATGGAGAGGCAGCAGGTGAGTAACTAGAGGGCAGAAATGGTGGAGA